GGCAACAGAGAATATTCAGGGAGAAAAAACAAGATATAATTGTAACTTGAAAAGAACTTAAATAATAATAAAACTAATGACAACAAAATAAGGAATGACCAAAACTGGAGGATAAGAGGTGGGACTGGAAATTACTTTAGCCATGGAAAACCTCACCTAAAGATAAGAGAAAGAATAATTAAAGGAGTAAATAATACCAAAACTGTTTAAGAAAAGAGATGACCTAAAAAACTAAGAATAAAAAAGTGATCTAAACCTGGAAAACACAGAACAAATTAAACCTGAGAACCAAAAAATAAAAACTTCAACAGAAGGTCCAAAATGTGAGATCATAACAGTATGGGGTCTTTAGAGCAACAACAGAAATTAAACTAAACAAACATTTACCTTAAAAGCATAGCGAAGGATTTCCGCGAATTCTTGAAAAGACCCGCCCTCTCCACTTAAAAAAAAATAAATGCAAATACACAAACCTGTACCCGCTCCCGAGAGGGAACGGCTATTAAAAACATGCGGGAGCATCCATTCCTCCTCGTGCACGCTCTGTTTGCATCGCTCATACAAGCTTACTTTCAAAAATAAGGTTTGACATTTTTCCACTAAGTCAGACTCTCCACCAGTAAGTGAAAATGGGGATGAGCACGTAGGACGGCATTATGTGAACATACCACCAAAATGATTGGCCATTAGGAGGACCACTTATTTAGATGATCCACCCAGAAAAAGAACATCCTCCACTATACCTTTAACATAGAAAACCATCACCTAAAAATGAACAAAATCAACTACTTTGGTTGTTGATGCTTTCTGTAATATTATTTCTGTCATCATTTGATTTTGTAGAAATGTTTATTCAATAGTTTGGGTAATTAATCCTCTGTGGTCAGAAAGGTAAATATTTTTTGAATGTCTGATCTATAGTGTGAAATCTAGGCATCTTTATCCAACCTTTTTTTAGTTTTAAACACCATCAGAGCTGATACAGAGCTACATTTCCCTTAAAGCTTGTTCTCAGGTTATTTTCTACTTCCTAGGCTGCCAGAAAGGACAAAAATTGGGCTACAAATGTTACCTAGTGTACAACAGTTTAGCTGACTATGCCGGAGCATCCAGGAAGTGCCTGGAACGTGGAGGACGTTTGGCGATGCCCCGTGATCGCAAGGAGCAGGAGGCCCTGGCGGACTACATCAAGGACTTTTTCAAACCGGGAAACTGGCCCGTCTGGTTGGGCATCAACGACCTGCACTCTGAGGGTCTCTACCTCTTCGACGACGGCACACGGGTCTCGTACTTCCAGTGGCGTAAACACTTCCTGTCCAGTCAGCCGGACGGAGGAAAACGAGAAAACTGTGTTGCCATGTCGTCAGACGATGGGGACTGGTGGGACCAATACTGTGACCGAACCATGAACTATGTGTGCGAGTTTGACGACAGGGTGGCACTTTGAGTGAAAAAAATTTTGTTTTTACTGATAATGCCAGAACTTCAAACCCGAATGTGTCGCGAAATATGCTTGAAAGACAGGACTGTGCAAACAGACCCTCTAGTTAAAATGAACTCTACCGACTGAGTCAAGAGGAGACCATATGCATCATTTTGTATGAATATGGATCTAAAGAAATTCACAAGAAATTTAAAGTTATTTGTTTTTTGTAGGATCATTCTACCCCCGAAAAAATAAATAAAATGAAGCTTAAACTCATGAGGAGAAACTTTGCACTGGGGTTAAATTCAGTAAACAACTGTTTCAGCATTAAACTTAAAAAAAAAACAACTTCTAAATTTGTAAACATAGTATCAACTGAAATGTACTGAGGTCAAATGCAAAATATTCAGTAAAACTTTGCGCCAGTTTGTGTTTTAAGGTTGTTTTTCATACGACTAAACTGCTGAATAAATTCAGGGAATTCTAAACATTGGATGAGGATTTCAAAACAAGGGTAAAAACTGAAAAACAGAGGAGCTTTGTGGGGGAATCAGCACATACCGAACCCCTTCAAGATCTCCATCAGTGTGTACTTGGGCCTTAAAGGGAATTAAGAAAAGCTCCTTTGGAAAGGATCATAAATGTTTTATAAACCCTGGTGCTGAGCGTGACTCCCACTAAAACTGCTGATTGACTCACATTCTTCTGTCCGGAGTATTTCAAAGCCTCAGGTCAACTTCTACCTTCCTTTCAGCCAGCAGTTGTGATTCATATTCAATTATCTCAAAATGTAATTAATAAGCAAAACAAGAAAATTATATATAAAAAAAAGAAGTGAAATGACAGCTTCCTTTTTTATTCGTTTTCATACAATCTCTGAAACAACGCATCAGTTTTTTATTTACTGTAAATAAAAACTCTAAACTTTACTTATATGTTGGGTATTGTTGTTTTACTGATCTTTGTATATTTGAACTCCTGGGCTTTAATCGTTTTAATCATTTTCTCTCATTAGCTAGGTCATTTGTTTTAGTAGCTGTAGTTCTGTGATGCTTTATTTTTCAATAATAAAGTCAATCAACCATGGAAACTAACAATGTCTCTTCTGCTTTAAAAAAAAATCTAAGTTTAAAGTACTAATAATATGGCTGGCTGTGTTCTTACACTGCAAAAAAGTATTACAGCTTATGCATGAATATACAGTTGAAGGCTGTTAACATAGGCTGCATTTATAAACATCTGTTCTTCACACAGTAAAATCTGAACTATAAGAAGGTCAACTTTTCTCAAAATAAGTGTATTACCTTAGTTTTGAGCAAGAAGTACAACAATCTGCCAATAGAACAAGTTCAATAAGAGAATAAAGTTGTTTTTTTCCCGATTTTAAATCTAGTTTCTTTATTGGCAGATCTCTTGTTTTACCTTTTCACTTGTTTTAAGAAATGTTTTACTCATTTGTAGATCAGTTTGTGCAGTGCTAAGTTTGCATTAAACCAGATTAAACTTTTCTGTTTTAGGCCATTATTAGCTTTCTTCTATTTACTTAGCTTTTTGTAAAACTTTTTTTTTCTCAAGTTTGCTTCTCTTCTTATTTGTAAGTATTACTGTTTATCAGCTATGACCTGGGTTAGATGTTTTTGTGTCCTTAAACAGGCTTCTCACAATACTTTTCTGAAATTTTTGACCCATTCCTTCTGCCATAACCAGTATAACCCAGTCAGGTTTAAAGGTTGCCTTCCTCTTAACTTCTCAGCACCTAAGCCATTCAAACCCTGACCTCCTTCTCTCCCTATAACTCATCTGGCTGTGTTCTTACACTGCAAAAAATGTCAGTTTTTCTTGTTTTGAGGAGGTAAGCGGGATACTTTGCAAATAAAACAAGACAATGCACATTTGAGATAAGAAAACAACAATTGCATTGTTTTATTTCAAGTGAATATTTTCTAAATGTCTTATTTTAAGAGTAAAATACTAATTCCATTGGAAAATCATTTTATTTACCTACTCAAATTAAAGGTAAATACACTTAATTTAGGAAATCTTTACTTATTTCTAGATCGTTTTTGCAGTTTAGGGTCAGTGATCACGGACACCCATCTCTACTAAAGCTCCAACTTCCTGACTGCTGTCTTCAGACACTGGAAAAACAATCTACAAATAAGTAAAGATTTCTTAAATTAAGTTTATTAACCCTTTATTTGAGTAGGTAAATAGGATAGTTTGCCAATGGAATGAGTATTTTTACTCTTAAAATAAGATAATTAGATAATATGCACTTGAAATAAGACAATGCAATTCTGTTTCCCTATTTTAAATGTAAATTGTTTTGTTCCATTGGCAAAATATCTCCTTTTCCTCCTCAATCCAAGAACATATGCACTTATTTTAAGAAAAAACGACTTCACTAGATTTTGATTTTTTGCAGTGGATGCTCATTCACCATTTCCACATTACATCATGTCTTAATGAGATCATTTATTTGTGTAAAGTGATCCACTCCCTTCTGAAAAAAACCCACACTAAGATTCCGCCGTTTCATTATTCCACATGACATGTCTCCATAAGTTAGTCCTTCCTTCATGAGAACAACTACAAACCTTAATCTATTTTCATATACTGGCATCTTCCTCTCTGAGCGGCCCTTCAGCTCATGTCGGTAAAAAAATGAGTTTCCTTGTTAATGATGACAGAATTACCAGCTCCAGTCAGGATCTTAAGAACTACTGAGGATTTTTTTCTTCTGGGGTTAATCTACTCATTTTACACCTTTCTGCAAAAAGTTTGATGAGCGGACTTTGCCATTCTCATTATATATGCATCTGAAGCCAGAGGGTGAACCAGCCGTTCACTTTCACAAATTCTTCCAGATAGAATCTATTTAATCATGTTTTTAATCAATAAAATAGTTTGTCTTATAAAAAGAACGGATATTCCTCATATTAACTTCACTCTTATGTCTGTTTAAATGGTTAGTGTAAATCTAGATGACTAATGAATAAATGTTTCAACCTAAATCACAACACTGATATCACCAAAGAAGATCAATTTAGTCTTTTCTGCACAGTTCAGCATCGGTCGCATCTCTTCATAACGACTGTAAGATGAGACGTCATCCATGTGCATCAAGAGCTGGTCTTCCTCAGTGGCATCAATGTTTTTCCAATAGCTTGTATTCAGCCTGTGATTCTTCAGAGCGGGTAGAGTTGGCTTCAGCAGCCTGCAGGACATCCGTCAGGCTCGGCCTGTCCAGAGGGTTTTTGGAGGGATGAGAGAGAAGCACCCTTCCCATTTGGTCCAGTAAAAAGTCCCCTCCCAGCTAAAAAAAAAACGGGATTACATAAATAAAACAGTGCTAAGCAAAGTTAGCTATGCATTGACTCTGATAAACATGATGATAGAGGAACACTGCTAAATTTTTCATTCCTTTAAGCTCACAAACTAGTTAATAAATGATAAGTTTATAAATGCAAAGGATCAGAGATTAATAAAGTCTTATCTGGACTGCAGCAAAGTTGGTTGCATATAAATGATCCTGTTGCTGGCCTTTAATGTTTGGATGGTTTGCATTATACCCGCTGTGTATTATAACATGCTGCAGAAAAATGACCAACAGCTTAAAGTTGTGATTTTAGAACAAGTGTGAGATATGATTTAAGATTAAAACAGTTAAGGCCTAATGGTCTTTTAACTGTTAGATCCGTCCTACATAGATGTACTGTATTACAAGGCACTAAGTTTTCATCGATATAGGGTTTCTCCATTCCCTTAAAAGGAGTGAAATTTCAGACCAATAAAAAAAAAGTATCTTAAAAACACAGAAGATAGAAAAAACCAGGATACAAAGAAGCCAAGTCCTATATGAGATGTTTTGAGTTGGACTCCCTCACATGTCATTGTTTTAATTGAAATTTTATTGTAAGTGCATATTTGACTTTTTTGTGTGTGTCTTTGTACGTATGTAATGATGTGATGTAATTTTGATGCCTATCTTGGCTAGGTCTCCCTTGCAAAAGAGATTTTTAATCTCAATGGGTATTACCTGGTTAAATAAAGGATAAATAAAAAAAATATAGGATTTTAGAGAGGTTTATATTGATGAAAGTGTTCTGAGGGGGATGGAGCCCTAAAGACACCATAAAGGTTCTCATATACAGATTACATATCATCCCATTAAAGACAAAGATAACTTTACACTACTAATTCCAATAACACAAAACTGAAAAAAGTAATAATAAATAAAATAAAAATATATATATACTATATATAATATATATATAACTACTTGATAATTTAGTTAAAATAAAACATTGATTTAGAATTTTTATTTAAAGAATACTTTTTTTTTCCAGACAAATGGAAATACTTTGCTGATGAACAGTGAACCAAGATACCTGTCAACAGGTGCAGAAGTCTGACTGAACATTTCCTGAACATTACAGAAAACCTCTGATTTCACTGACTGCCTCAGTTATTATTACTTTTTTTCAATTTCAATTTATTTTACTGGCAACTGAAATTTTTTTGTCTAAAACTGAAGGTTATGTAAACCGTCAAGTACAGCTGTACCTAGATTCACCTGCACCATACATAATAATTCATATACCTATATAATAGTGATGCACAGTATCTGCCTATTTTGGTCATTTTTAAACATATTGGTATCGGTCTGATTAGTGAAATTAGGTCAGTAATAAAAAAATCTCTTTATTTCCATTTAGTTTCCATGGAAAAATAGGAAAAAATATCAGTTATCGATCATAAGGGCTGTATTGATATGGCCCCAAATTTTCATATCTGTGCTTTGCAACTGTATAGTGATGAAGTAAAGCTGTTCTTAGAGCCAGCAAAGTTCTGTTTGTTTTATTCTATCAGTGCCGTCGTCTTTGTACCTGATAAATGTCTTCCAACAGGCGATATGGGAAATCAGGGAAGTCTCTGTTGGCGATACTGTACTCTGAAAACTGCATCAGGCAGCCAAACTTCAACACCTTGGAGACGGATGAGCCAAGCCCAAAACTCCTGTAGACCTGGACCAGACAATACAGGCTAGTTATTTAGAAAGCAAGCATGGCTGTCTCTATGGCAACTGTCCTGGTTGTTTTAAAGCAAACATCTGGTCACTAACCTCTCAGACTACATGGTCTGAGCATTTGGATCTCTGAGCTTTAATGATATCATTA